GGGAGGGGGGGGGGGGGGGGGGGGGGGGGGAAAGAGGGCTCCATCTGGGTGTGCAGGCTCTGGGATGGGGTAGGAGGAGGTTCCAGGCTGGGGGCAGAGGGGAGGTTCCAGGCTGGAGAAGAAGCCCTGCAGTGGGGGTGGGTTTCGGGGTGGGTGCAGGCTCTGGGGTGGGCTGGAGATGAGGCGTTTGGAGGGTAGGAGGGGCTCTGTGTTTGGAGAGGCTCAGGGCTGGGGCAGGGGGCTGGTGCTCAGGGTGTGGGCATGGGCTGTCCTCGGCCAGCTCCCAGGGAGCAGTGCAGCAGGGGCAGCTTCCTGCCTGTCCTGGCACCGCGGACGGCCCTGCACCCCGGAAGGGGCTGGCAGCGGGTCTGGTTCCTAGGCAGAGTTCACAGAAGGGAGCCAAGACCCAGGGTGTGACTTCATTGCAGAATTAGTGCAGACGTTGCCCCCAACACCCTCCCATCCACACACACACACCCCTCCCCTGAATGTGGTGGTGCTTTCAACCCAGGCTCGCTAGCTCAGTAGGCAACAGGCCAGGGGGCTGGTAACCTGCCCACATTGCAGTATGGACACAGGATAATTCACTCCAGGACTGATAGTCCTCCAGTGCCTTCCCACAATCCCCCCGACATGTCCGGAAGGGCAAACAAGTTCTTCAGCAATTCACTGGGGAAGAATCCTAGAGGGGCTCTGTAGCAGAGAGACCTGTGAGAGATGCCCCCAGGAGTCCTAGCAACACACCGGGGTGAGAGCCACCCGAGGGAGGACACCCTAGCACGGCAGGGCTTTGCAGTGTGGCTGCTCACACCGGGCCACCTGGGCTAGGTCTTTAATGAAGATGAACGCACCGATGAAGGGACTTGCCCAAGGTGACACCGACCCAGTAACTGGGTCTCCATCCAGTGATTTAGTCCAAAGACCAGCCTTCCCCCCTCTTCCATGCCTGGCCTGGCAATTTCCAGGCTCACAGAACCTCTTTAATCAGGCCGTTAGCTGATCAAGGCCGGGGCACTGCATGCAGATAATGGAGCTGGAAATGTTATTTGTGCTGAGTCACCCCAAATAATACCCTTGTGTATGTGGCTGTTATAATGGGATACAGAGGCCCCCAATGCTACAAGGACATGGATTGCAAAAGTATGTTTACAATGACAGGAAAATAAAGGAGCTATAGCTACAGCTTAACTTCTAATGACTAGGTGTGGGGGAGGGGAGATGGGCTTTTGGTTAAGGCAGTGGGCTGGGACCCGCAGCCAAACCATCAGTTCAATTTTTAGCTCTGCACCTACATCAGATCCCTTTCTCCTACCCAGCCTCTCCTCAGACTCCAGGTCCTTCAGAAGCAGGACTGTCTCACCATGTATTTGTACTGTGCCTAGCACAACGGAGCCGCCGTTAAGATTCCTAAGCACCATTATTGTAGCACTAATCAGAGTAACAGATGTTCCAAGCGCAGCCCCCCCAACACCCTGTGTGAGCGGCTGAAAGCA